GTGTCAATAGAGCACATTGCTGAGTGAGTGCATTTTCTCTGTGTAAGGGGGAAATTGAATCGTGTCTGAAAATAATTACAACCACTCAAAATGAGCACAAACACACTCATGCATATGTACGCTTTGGTCTCTTTCTCTATCCCTCACACACACACAGGCTGACACAAAGGAATGAAAATATTTAGGGAGCACTGGTAATTTCAAATAGTTAGCGTTAATTTTACACTACCTGAAGTACCGAATGGGTGCCACAAAAGGTAAACTAAATTGACTCCCATATTTCTACTATGACTGATTATATTATTACTGATTGTATTGATGCTTAAAGAAAAGATCTTCATTCTTTATATACAAGCCGAGACTGCAGCTCTTATTAAAGACAGTTGCGATAAATCACCCCATTAATTAAAAGGCTCTCTATCACTCGAACACACAGACAGACTGCCTCAAACAGCGGGATAGAGTTCAATAATTACCTAATCTCCACACACTGGTCTTGAACCACTGCCAGCAGTTTGCCATTACTGTGGAGAAAACAAGAGAACAGTAGGGAATGAACACGAGAAAGAAAGAAATAAGAGAGAAAACAAAGAGAGCAGAAGGTGAGAGCGATAAAGAAGTGAACAAATGTCATTATCTCTGATATATTTTTTTTAAAAGTGGGAGATGAACTGAAGACCACCTAGGGTGATAAAGGAAGATAACACACATTTACAGGCAATGAAGAAAAGAGTGGTTTTGTGTGTGTGTGTGTGTGTGTGTGTGTGTGTGTGAGACTGTGTCTAGCAGGGCAGTCTGGATGGAAAAGAGATAAATACTGGAATACGAGCAAACGTTGGATGGCTTAAAGAGAGGAGAAACAATAATAACTGGGGGCATTAAAAAGAGCAAAGATTCATTCAGGGGGAATGAAATGAGGTAGATAGATTTAAGGGCAGACAGGAAAGAAATGGAAGGATCAAGCATCACCCTAATGGACATCCGCTGCAACATTTGACCACGCTTAACACTGTCTTACATGGCTGAATCGATAGCCAATTAAAAACCACCTTTCTACTTGGTTTGTCTGTTGTAATGAGTACAATTAAATGATTGGTTTAAGGGATACACAAAAGGAAGAGAAAACCAGAGGGGCAAGCAGGCTTAGTGCATGTCAGCAACAAAGTAGCAACATTTAGGTATCGATCAGAAAGAGAGCGTGTGTGTGTGTGTGTGTGTGTGTGTGTGTGTGTGTGTGTGTGTGTGTGTGTGTACCTTGCAAGCACCAGCTCCCAGTTGATCTGCTTGTTGGCTTGGCGGACAAGTCCAGGAGGCAGAGACGAGCTGGAGGGGCTGAGGGTTGCAGAGTCAAACAAACAAAACAATGAAACAATTAGAGAACAGATTGAAAATGTTAATTAACTGCTAAACACACTGTATTCACAAAGCCTCTTATCACACTATAAGACGTCCCTCTAAATGAGTGAGACGACTTTCTTCATAAGAAGTGTTCACAAAGCTGCTGAGAGGTAACCAGTCTGTCAGTGACTGAACTAAAATGTCATCAGTACATAAGAGTGTCAACAGGAACTGTGTTTGATTCAATCTGATTTAAACAATTTAATGTAATTAAAATAAAAAATAAACATTAAATTTTGATAAAATTAGTTAAAATTTAATTAAACTAAAATTAGGTATTCATTCATTTATTCATTAACGTTGGGGTTTTTTTAATGTACATTTAATGAACTGTCCAACAAATGTGGATCTCCAGAGCACATTTGTGGTTTTAATTTTCACCGACAACTGAGATGTTTTAAGTTCATCAGCACTTTAAATTGCAGTTTCCAAGTAGTGGAAACTAGTATCTCCATTGTTTTTAGTTTCGATTTGATGGTGAACAAAATGTAATTCTTCCTTGACATCAAAACATGTTTTAAAAAGCTCATTATTATTGTATTTTTGTATTGTACCGTTTTGAGCTACAACTACGCCAGAAGCTTCTGCTCTTCTACTGTCAACAAATAAAAATATCACAACATGTAGAGGGCAGTCAGCCTACTCTAGTTATATTAAATAAAATTCCTGAACCTTTCTCATCCACATAAAGAGAATGAGAGCTGAGAGACAAACATGGCTAGAGGAACTCTTAAATATTTAATGAGGTTATTGATGGTGCTAGCTAACCACCCACTGAGAGGATAAGCAGGCCTTGGTGCTAGAGCATTACAGAATTCACTGCAGGCCACAGCTAGACATATGTTAATACGTTCCAACAGATATTGAGCAGTAAGAGCAGGGTGAACAAGGTCAGTACCTTCCGATTTGCACTGCTTAAAGTGTAGTCCCACTATCATCTATTACAAATACTTACACATAAACTTTAATATGAGTAGGGGAAAAATTCAAGACACCCAAATCCAAGCTTAAACATTGTTATTCAATGCCTTCATATAATGTCGTATTTCATACAGCAGAGTTTTTCAAAGTGGGAGGCGGGTCTCTCCAGGGGATGCTCAGTAAAGGGAAGTGAAAATATATTACATTAGTTATTACATTATTTATCAAAACGGGATCACAAATAGCTGAAAAGTGTGAGCTGGTTAAAGAGATGGTTCAGAGATAGTGTTTTTCCCCACTTTCCTAGAGTCAGAAACTAATAAATGCCATAGGACCAGGGATATGGGCTAAAAGGGCTAAGCCCTCCCTACCTTTTACAGTAAAAGTGAAAATCTATTATTAAAAACCTTAGAACATATTGTGTACCAAATTTTGGTAGAATCTAGAGCAGCAACAGCACCAAAAAGTGACAGAAAAAACCCAGGATATATGAAATATCTTGGGTTTTGTCCTATGATAGGACATACCTTTTTTTATGGATCTGATGTTGTCTACAGCAATATCAGGCTAGCTTGACTCAATTGTTGAATGTATATGGGATCAAATAACATAATCATGATCCCTGAGGCATCCAGGAATTGAGTGACACTAAGCAAGAAAACTAAGGGGGTCAGAGTGGGCCTCCTTTCCAAGCTTTATCTGAGGGGAGGCCTACAGTCTCAGATTTAGAAAACCAATATAATTGCATTGCCTTTATTTGATAGAGACAGCTGTAAGGTGACAGAGAGGGGGGGGGATGACACGCAAGGACTCAGCCTTGGTATATGGGTCACCGGCTCTACCAGGTGAGCTCCTGATTTTTATCAACAATCAAACCATACATTAATGTCACCAAGACAGGTAACATTCTTCAAATAGATTTAGTTTGTAGCCCATTAGTTACTGATCCCTAAATAGGATTTCATTAGTCTGTCCCTCATCTGGATTCATAAGCTATCTCATTTAAATATGAGCTTGCTGACAGAAATTAAAAGTCATAACTGTACTTATAATGCGGTGTGGTCAGACACACACCTCTGTTCTAATAATTAAACCAATTAAAAGCACCATGAATCACAGCTTCATGTGGCATCGAAGTCCATTACACTGGATGAAGTCTTGTTCTAACCTGTCAGAATCAGCAATGATGAACTTACCTGTACCACAAGTAGTGCAAGACTAAGCGGAATGGCCCTGTAAGAAATGAATCAAAGTTAGTAAGCAAAATAATGGTGATGATGTCATATTTTATTGATTACTGTATAATGGGATTTAAGGTCTTGTTCAAGGACTAAAGGACCTGAAATTCAGTCTCTTCACCCTGATCCAGACAAAGGCTAACTATACAAAACTTATACAAAACTAAAGCACCAGCCAGGACCAATTACTATTTATCAATATGTTTTCTAACAGTCATTCCGAGATAATCTTGACTAAGAAAACTATATCTGATGTATTATATATTAAAAAGGTTGTTATCTTTGATAGGATGCATCCTTTTTTTCAGATTCGGTTGATTATGTAGATGTCTATCCTCCAGCACACAGTAAGTGCTTTCCTAACACCTTTACACATTTGCAGGCCTACTTTCCAGCAAGTGGTGACACTGCTTGCTACCAATCCTACACCGTACTCTCCCACCAAAGCATACACAGTTTGAAGTGTTGCATATTGTTGATTGCTGAATTTAAGAGTGAACACAAAGGATTTGGAGGAGGTCATGGCCAGGTGCTCAATACATATGTTGTGATTAGGAGCATGCATCTACGCTTATAAACACCAGAACTTACCTGTCACTGCTTTTGCAATAAGTGAGGTGTTGTGCTCCTTGTTGCCTCGCAACTGCAAATGTTAGAAAAGTGACAGACAGGTGAGCTTATCGTTCACATCTGTCCTCTAACGAACCTCTAATGTTGTGTTTAGTCCTTATGAATTGTTAACACTGAACTTGAAAGGAAAGTGCCACAGGTAAGTGTTCCTGCTGTTGCTAGGGTAACGTAATTAATGTATAGCAGCGTCACTCTAGCAGCCACATACTGTTAGGGGGTCTAGCTAGCTAGCTGTAGCAACACATGAATGTTGTCTTATAACTGGAACATATTATGATAAAATAAAATAAAACTGCATTATATGCGACATGACATTATGAGGCTTTACCTGGCTATGCTACAGTATGTGTGCTACGTGGCTTTGAGCGGTTGAACCCATGCAACTGATTGGAGTTGACTTTCGGTAGACATTAATGTTCAATGTTCAACAAAAGACGAACACAGTAAACTCAAAGCGAGCATAAACGGAAGTCTGACTAACCTGAGTGTCCGTCTCTGGAGGCCATTCAGTAATGACAAGCAAATCGTATAAAATGTTTTCATCTTCGCCTTCAATTAGACTTTCTTCAGCCATATTTACTTGTGCCAGCTGTCAAAAGTCTACGGCGATGGGCGCGGGACAAAATATACCCGGGAACCGCGTTTGGTAGCTGTAGCTAACCGCTTAGAAAAACCTGTGTCGCGGTTTGAACTTTAATACTATGTCGCTCTACTAATATATAAAAGTGTGCTTATGTAGCTCGCCCCACAAGTAATCTGTGTTACTGTATTTTACGAACTAGTTTACTACCCGGAACCAAATATCACAAGGCCGGTCGGATAAGCGAGTTGCACCGACACGAAGATTGTGAACGCGTTACATCCGGTTGGTTTTGCACTCGTAGCAGCAATAATGGCAGCGTTTTCTGGTAAGAACTGTATTTTAAATTCACGCTGACAACGCCAAACGACACTTCAAAGCGAAATGAACGTACTGAATCATTAAATGTGATTTCTGTTCAACAGAAATGGGGGTTATGCCTGAAATCGCGCAGGCTGTGGAAGAGCTGGACTGGTTGTAAGTCACAATACAAACTACCTCAGTATTGCTAAATCATGCCTACATTGTGATGTCTGTCCGTGTTTGTGTTACCTGTCAGCCGTCGCTGTAAGCATAACACAGCTGACACTGACCGGATTTCTTGTACTCATTGGCTCTCAGGCTGCCCACTGACATCCAGGCAGAGTCTATTCCCCTTATTCTTGGCGGAGGAGATGTCCTCATGGTAAGTCTGCCCATTTGTCTGTGTTGTCTCTACAAGCTAACTTTGCACCCTGCAAGTTTTACATCTTTAAATGTTCTGTTTTTTCTAGGCGGCAGAGACTGGTAGTGGCAAAACAGGTGTAAGTACTTGACAGCCACACAATCTTAATACACAACTTCAAGTTTGCACGTTTTTAAAACAAATTAGCATTTTTATTTTTATTTTTATTTTATTTTTTTAATGCTAAGCTAAAATGTTACACTTGTCATCCTCAGGCCTTCAATATTCCAGTGATCCAGATTGTGTATGAGACACTGAAGGATCAGCAGGAGGGCAAGAAGGGCAGAGCTTCCATCAAGACTGGAGGAGCTGGTGAGACCATTTTAATACTTATCTGATTGCAGTCTCTGTGTTTTATATGCCAGCTAGAACGTGCTCATAACATTGTACAGACCTCTCTCGCCCAATAGACCCAGTGAGGCCAGTAGACAAATTGAGGATCCACTGTAATACAAACTATGAAAGCAGTGGTCTGTGCCCTGGAGATGTTTAACCTGCTTTGTTTCTTTGCTTGGCTCAGTTTTCAACAATTGGCAGATGAATCCTTATGATCGCAGTCCAGCCCTTGGTAAGAGGAGAAATGTGATGTCCTATTCCAGCACAGTCTAACCTGTTATAACTGCAGATGTCCATAATCCAGCTTTGTTCTTTGTCACCTCTCCTCATTGTTACTTTTTTTTTGTTTTCACCCATACAGCAATTGGTCCAGATGGTTTGTGCTGCCAGAGCAGGGAGTTTAAAGAGTGGCATGGCTGCCGCTCTACAAAAGGTGTCTCCAAAGGTGTGTAATCCACAGTATTTTAAAATTGCTTGAGATTTCAAACAACATCTGTGCATTTTACAGGAAACCATTTCTTTAATAAACTAATAGTCAATTGTTCTTTTGCAACTGTTACTTTGTGTCCAGGGCAGTACTACTATGAGGTCACCTGCCACGACCAGGGTCTGTGTCGCATTGGCTGGTCCACCAGTCAGGCAGCCCTGGACTTGGGTATGCTTCTCTAATCTTTTCCCTCACCGTGCTGCAGAACCTACAACAGCTAAATTAAGCTGTCTCAATAGAACAGTTATTCACTCCCCAACTCTTTTATCTTTTCCAGGAACTGATAAGTTTGGTTTTGGTTTTGGTGGAACTGGAAAGAAATCCAACAATAAGCAGTTTGACAGCTATGGCGAGGTAACAATGAATGAATGAACATGTTATTAGATATGTTAACAATTACAAGGGTTATTTTCAAACATGTTTTGTCTTTGTCATCTTCCCTCTTTGCAGGAGTTTACCATGCACGACACTATTGGATGCTACCTGGATCTTGACAAGGGCCAAATTTCCTTCTCTAAAAATGGTACTGTCTCAATGGTTATGGTTCTTCTTATTATCATCATGTAAGACATCTGGAATTCATGGCAATGTGACTGATGTTTCTTGCTCTGTCTTCTCTGTTTACTTCTTTCAGGTAACGACCTTGGTTTGGCTTTTGAGATCCCTCAACATGTGAAGAGTCAGCCCTTCTTTGCCTCCTGTGTGCTCAAGGTATCACATCGATTTAAAAGTAGAAATCAAACCAACAGGGGCCAGATTTACACCGTTCAAATCGTTTTTCTCTAAATCTGTTTCACAGAATGCGGAGTTGAAGTTCAACTTTGGAGGAGAAGACTTTAAACATGCCCCAAAGAGTGGGTTTGTTGCCCTGAACAAGGCGCCTGAGGGTCACACAGTCAAATCTTCTCAGACAGGTATGTGGATGCAACATTATTTCAGATACAGCAAGAAAATATACTTTAAAGAGACAGAAAAATCAATATGGGACTATGAGACAAATATCACATATTTTATAGAACCAGAGATAATTTGATGTTTAGGCTTGATTATGCTTTACTTTCTTTCACATTAAAAGCCTTCTTCTGCTAGAACATTTTAAAACGGGGTACATTTCTGCTATTGTTGATATACACCTATGAATACATCACAACTAATGTCACTGATACCATCAGTGTTGAACAGCTGTCTCTGCCCTGTGTGTATGTGTGTGTGTGCAGGCAGTGCCAAAGTGAGTCAGGTGAAAGCATCATCCAACGCGCCCAAAGCTCTGATCATCGAGCCATCCAAAGAATTGGCTGAACAAACCCTGAACAATGTCACGCAATTTAAGAAATATGTGGAAAACCCCAAAATCAGGTACGACCGTACAGAGCTGCTATTGGACATTGGTTGATGCAATTATCATAAAACCTGCATGCGTTGGTTTTTAAAAACTAGTCCTGCTGTAATTTGTTATTCCTGTTTTATACCAGCAGAGGGAGCTAGTGCTTCATTATATAAACATTGACATCAGCATGTGCAGTTATTTGTCATGTGTGTCTGCAGGGAGCTGCTGGTGATTGGTGGTGTGGCTGCTAAAGACCAGATGGCTGCTCTGGAACAGGGGGTATGTCACACGTTCTGTCCCCAGACAAACTTTTAATTAATTACCATTAAAAACAAGAGTTGAAACAGTTTTAAACTAACAACATTTTTGCTCCCTTTGTCTTGTTCCCCTGTCCTGCTTTCTCCTTTTTTGCGTCATCTCACAAATAGATTGATATCGTCGTAGGAACACCTGGCAGACTAGACGACCTCATATCCACTGGGAAACTCAGTCTGTCTCAAGTCCGCTTTCTAGTCCTGGATGAGTGTGTATGTGCAATATATACAAATATTACTTTTTTTTAATGGTTTATACACAGAACATAACAATCCCTGCAGTCATTTATTCATTTGTCTGTGTTTTCTGTTCCTCAGGATGGCCTACTGTCCGCTGGCTATACCGACTTTATCAACAGGATCCACAATCAAATCCCTCAGGTCACATCCGACGGCAAGCGACTGCAGGTGATACTAAACATTTTAGTGATGAAACATTGGGACCGCTTTAAAGAGAAACAGCAGTCTGAGCAGTAGCTGTGCGTTTTCTGAAAAGGTTGTGTGTTTATATGTGAGGTACAGATAGATTAGATGAATATTAAAACTAAGTGAACTATTTCGGTTGCTGCAAAGTTCTGTTTATGTTTTTTTTCCACACATTAACCTTTGATATCCTCTTTTCCAGGTGATAGTGTGTTCAGCCACGCTGCATTCATTTGACGTAAAGAAGTTGTCTGAGCGTATTATGCACTTTCCCACTTGGGTGGACCTGAAGGGGGAGGACTCCGTCCCTGAGACTGTCCACCACGTGGTCGTGCCTGTCAATCCTAAAACCGATCGTGTTTGGGAGCGTCTGGGCAAGAACCACATCCGGGTGAGTCCCCTCATGTTGGGCAGAGGACACACACTTCATGGTGCAGCGGGTTTTGCTGCAGCACTGTGGAGGATTCAACATCTTTTTATCCCGAATTAGAATAAACTTGTTGAAAGTTTTTTTTTTGATTTGTTTTGCTTTATAGACGGATGAAGTCCATGCCAAAGATAACACCAGACCAGGAGCCAATTCTGCAGGTAGGCAGCCCAGTTTTCCCAAAATGTACATCACATAAACACCAATATAGATATTATTTTATCATTTGCCTATAAATCATCACGACTAAGGAGTCTGTAACAAAAATGTGTATGCTTGCATTTTAGAAATGTGGTCCGAAGCCATCAAAGTGCTGAAGGGCGAGTACGCGGTGAGGGCCATCAAAGAGCACAAGATGGACCAGGCTATAGTCTTCTGTCGCACCAAGATTGACTGTGACAACATGGAACAGTACTTCATTCAGCAAGGAGGAGGTAGGAGAGTGCCGCAGAGACACACACTTGGGTATAAAAGAATGATGACATAATCTGTCCTCCCTCACTATTGGTCTCTTTACCTTAGGTCCAGACAGTAAAGGCCACCAGTTTTCCTGTGTGTGTCTCCATGGTGACCGTAAGCCAAATGAGCGGAAAAATAACTTGGACCGCTTCAAAGTAAACAGGACAACGGCGTAATAACACTCTTTTACAAAGCACAACTAGTCCATCAGTGTCTGACAATCTTCTTGTGTTCTCAGAAAAAAGAGGTGAGGCTCTTGGTCTGCACAGACGTAGCTGCCAGAGGAATTGACATCCACGGAGTTCCTTATGGTAAACATATTAGATTTCTAACATAAAACCCACATTCCTTAACATACACACTTTTCAAATGCTGATTATATACACAGTGTTCAATAGGATTAGAATACTTTGCTTTTTTTCTCCAGTCATTAACGTCACCCTGCCAGATGAGAAGCAGAATTATGTCCATCGTATCGGGAGAGTTGGAAGAGCCGAGAGGTAAGCACGACATTCCTATGAAAATCCTATGATTTTCTTTGAAAATGCAACCCGAAAATTTCACACAAAATACCTTAAACTGTCTCAATATGATTTGACTGAGAGACAATAAATGATAGCACTGACCTTCACATTATTGCTCATTTACTTAAAATCACTTCCTTTCTTTTTAACAGAATGGGACTGGCCATCTCCTTGGTTGCTATGGAGAAGGAGAAGGTAGGGTGGAGCATAGAAATACACCAAGAATGAATTTGAATTCATAATTTTTTGAATATAGGTGGAAGTAAATCTTTCCACATATTGCAGGTGTGGTACCACGTTTGCCCGAACAGAGGCAAAGGCTGCTACAACACCCGGCTGAAGGAAGATGGAGGTTGCACCATCTGGTACAACGAGAAAGAGGTGAACGGAGATGTTTTGTGTGTGCTTTCTCACAGTTCTTGTAATCTGTTGTGTGGTTCAGCAGGGAGGAGTGTGATGGAAACCACTGCTCTGGGAAAGAAGCTCTTCCTCAGTTTATTATGTAGATTGTATTTTGATGGTCAGTAACCATCCTTTGTCTTGGATGTATTAACGACCGATGTCACGAGTATGACTCATAGTGTACAGTGTAGCCTTGTACCCTACGCTGTAGCCTGAATTGTTTGTCCTGAAATAGATAGCCTACATAAACCTTGTTGCGTATTTTGTTTCAAACTCAACCGTTGTTAGGAACACTTCAAAACTGTTTTACCAAATGCAAAGGGGAACTGACTTTCATTCATATTCTATTTTTTTTTTATCATATCTACATGCATACAGCATCAAAGTTCTTGTTGCTGTGGTTGATACTTACATGCACAGTGATCATAATGAACATTGAACAATGCATTTTCTATAAAAATACAAAAAAATCTACTTGTTTTGAACTGTTACTTATGGGCCGTGGCCAAATTAAAATAGCCAATTTGTTGAAAACGGCAGCTTATATGACTATAAGCAAGTGTTGTCCCGTATTGTCAAGAAAAACTCTTGGAAAATGGGACTCCTGGTGGGTGCATTGTCTGAGAATGGTAAGGTAATTCATGCAATACCCAGATGAGTTAAAAATGCTGTTTGAGAATCCCTCTTGAAACATACAAACAAACATTCTCAGTCAAGTGTGTGTTCACTCACACAGACAAACATGCACACATGGGATGCTACCTTGCTGCATGAAATGCTCTTGTCTCATGGGGGGGGGAAGAAACAAGGAAGATACAAGACAGACGTAGGAGAGAGACGAGGGAGTTTCAGTCGTGGGTGAAGAGCATAGGGCTCAGCACACAGCCCTGTGGGGTTCCTGTGTTTAAGGCGGAGGAGGTGTGGTTACCAATTCCGACTTGCTTTGTTTATGACATAATTCTGCACTACCCATCATAACCTTTCAATTCTGTTTGTGTCCGTTTTCCATTTCCTCTAATCCCAGCTCCTGTCAGAAATTGAGGAGCACCTAAAGTGCACTATCACCCAGTGTGAGCCAGACATCAAAGTACCTGTGGATGACTTTGATGGAAAGGTCACCTATGGTCAGCGCAGAGCATTGGGAGGTATGTGTCGAAGAGTGACTGGTGACTGTGCACAAGCATGTTTAATATTTTTAGCCACACTACTAGTGAAATATCTACAAGTATTGTTTGGATTGTTGTGAGGCATTACAGCTTTTATAGGCTGGTAGCTTGACTAAACATGTATTATATTCACTGTTATATTGGGCTTGATCAGCAAACCTGTTCTCTTGCCTAGGTGGTAACTACAAGGGTCACGTTGATGTTCTGGCCCCGACTGTCCAGGAGCTGGCTGGCCTCGAGAGAGAAGCCCAAAGTTCTTTCCTCCACCTGGGATACCTGCCAAACCAGCTTTTCAGAGCCTTTTGAGCACACTTAACTAGCACTAACACTGTAGGCTGCTGATAGAGAAAATTTAGACATTTCACACGTTGCACCAACAGGACGTTTTTTTTGTTTTCCCCCACCTCGACATAAACATAATCATCATTCAGAATGTACACCTGTTGAGACTGTTGCCTGGACTCCATCTCAAAGTCCTTCACTGCAATGATTGCAAAAATATAACAGGACATAATCCTTTGAATCTAATGCGAAACCTAATTTGTTGGATTTTGTGTTTTGTTTTCTGATTGATATGGCAGAATGAAATATTTAAGTTTCCCTATGAAGTAATTGACTAAGAAGTCAATGTATTTAAGTGGTTTGTTTGTTTTTCTTAAATAAATCGTAGTAGCCTGCTCAGTTTGGTTCCTTTTTTATTATATTTACAACTCTGAAAGGAAGAGTACTATTGGTATAAATTCTAATTGCCTTTTTTCTCATTCACTCATTGATTCAGTGTTTTAAGAATCCCAGTTTACTCAGCAGAAATTCCAACAGACAGCAGGGAAATGGTTTCATTAAAAATGTACGCAGCTGTGCTTTAGATGATTTGTTTAAATAATATATAATGGGCTACAAGATCAAACTAGCACTTACGTAATCCTCTGATTCTGTTTCATTAAAATCCGTTTGAATCACTGACTATCAATGTTTGGACACTTTTACTTTGAAGTCGCTGCACACTGACCTTTCGTTGACTGTGGAAGCGCTGCATTTTTTCTTCTATATTTTTAAGCTTGTGCCCTTAAACTGTCAGTAAACTTCTCCAACTCTAATAGGCAAACTCTTATATGTTCATCCTTGCTATGTAAGCACAACTGTTTGCCTCAAGTATGTTTTTTTTAATGGAATAATGTCAATATTACATTAAGAAACTTAATGAGAAGAAAATTGGTTTAACATTTTCTTTGTAAAACAACTCGGCTGTGAATGGATTCTGCATTCATATGAAGGTTTAAAGAGAAATACTGTAATTAATGCACTGTCATCTGCTATTATGTGCTTATCACACTGTAGCTCAAATATATATGGCAGTAATTATAAGATTATTGTTGTTGGCATTTCCTTTGACAAAAGAAATACCTTCATTAGAAACTCAAATAATGGCTTAAATATTAATGAAACCAAATTTTATGTTTATAAAATGAAATTCTTGAAGAAGTTACCATCTTATATTACACTTAAACAAACACATCACATTATCACATTTAAAACCTGTAACAAAACATCAACACCAAAACTATTAGCAAACTATTCAATATTCTACCTGTTTAACTAAACCTCTTTATTTTTTCATTCCGTTATGTTTTTCTTGATGCATGTTTGTGTCATGGAATATGAAAAATTGTTTTTTAAATAAGTTATTTATGGGGGGGGGCTCAGGTGGTTTGAGGAGCAGAGGCAAAAAGAAAATTAAAAAGGGCACCAGCTGTATGTGGTGGGGCACCAGCCTGTGGAAAGTCCTGATGTATTTATGGAAGGCACCCTAGAGGGCACTTTATCATGCTGTCTGGCACATTGGGCCACCCTAAAGGGCACTTCATCGACAATAGGGGCATCCGAAAGGGGCACCTTTGGTTTGTTTTTGTTTGTTTTTTTGAACATAGGGGATAGAAAACAAACAATATATGGCCTATAAATGCAGAGATACAATAAATGAAAGTATAAGAATAAAACTAAATTCAGGTGAAGATAATACAGCAGTTAGATGGAGGCCATTGTCCCTATTGATACAAAACAGAATCCTTCAGCATGCGCTTTATTAAAGGGTATATGAACATCATGTCTAGATAATTATATCCTGCAGATGTAGTGCAAACAGCAATTACAATTCCCAAATCATTTTTTAATTATTTCATTTAACCCTTAAGAATATATGAGATTTGAGAGAAATAATACCTCACTACACATAAATGTGTATAAAGTTAAAGTGTCTGTTCGTTTTAAAACAGATCAATTCAATGGGGTTGAATATTGCATGTAAAAGGCATAACAACTTGTTACTTTTCCAATTTCAGTCAGTGGTTTTGACTACTGTTATTTCAGAAATGTAACTTACTGTATTAAATATATGTGTTACAGCTCATGTTCATGTAGATGAACAGTGGAAAACTGATGAAAAATGACAGTGAAGGTGTCTTCAGTTTCATTTTCATTCACTGAAATCAGAACACTGTAAAACAATAAAAAACTGTATTTTATGCCCATCGCACTGGACCCTAACTATTTAACTCATTCAATGGAGTTCTCCAAATAACCTGTGGGGGGCAGTAACACGCCTTTGCTGCCTTTAGTCGGCCGAAATTGTCAAGATTAGGCGAAGAAGCTCCTCGATAATTTCGCTTGTGCAGCTTCTGAAAACAAACTGGACTATTAGCTCTTATAAGTTAAAGTCTTGATTCATTTAATACATTGCAAGTAAGAAGAACAATACAGTGTTTGTTCAGCCCACATTAGGTACGTGTACCAGACTGTTTCATTATGTTTTCGATCATTTAATTGAGTGTGCTTTTCTCGAAGAAATCCATGGTTGGACCTCTTTTTCCGTCCATGTTGGATGTGCCAAAAGAAATGCACAATTAGTGCCCCTCAAACAATGGCTGATATGTTTCCATATATTCTATATATATGAACAAAAGTGATATATTTAAGTTCTGAACTTGCAGTGCGACGTAATTGTGTTTTTCCTGCTTCGACATTGTACATACAGTGAGTGTTTAGATACGTTAAAGGTCGACATGTTTACACAGTTGTTACAGTGCATGTATTCTCGACACTTGACTTCACTATTACTGCATTCATTTACACTGTTACAGTGCTAGAGAGAAATATGACAATATAGCTATGTTAAAACATGTATATTACAGTGGTAAATGGACAATGGCAATTATAGAGGCAAAAGATATTACTTTACTATTTGCCTTATACTGGCTTTGCCTCCGCCATCTTGCAGGCATTTTATGACCCGTTAAAAAAACCCAGACATTTGGATGTTTCTAACTAAAAAGATGCTGAAACCAATCAACAGGGAATAGCGTTTCGCAACTGGGTTGTTTTATAATATTTTACTGTTAGGAACATGTTGATATGACATTGATATATCACAATGAGGATACTTTTTATCACTTATTTAAACTCTGTGTTGCCCCCCTTTTTTACTGGCCAAGTATCTGTGCTGGGAAAGAGGGGTTGCTCTTGTTATTTTTTTTAGTTAAGTATAGCCCATTATGAGAGTCCTTGTAATGTCCGTGCATGAAAAACATTGAGGTGTTTTTAGTAGTTTTTCAAGTGTCTGACTGAATCCTAGCGCTGCCTGGGATCAGTGATGTAGTGCCGTGGTTCTCAAACTACTCTCAATAATGAACCCACTTTGGAATATCTTTCAGTGAGGGTACAATACTTGCTGCACCATCTGTCTGTGTTAGTAAACAAAACCTTGTAATGGAAAAGCTACATTTCCTAGAATATCGTAGGAACTGCGGTGATCATCACAAATGTGGTTTTGTTTGTTGCTTTCTTCTTCTTCTGTCAGGTTTTACGGTAGTTAATGATTGCACTGAATTGTTTTTGCTTTTAACAGTACACCATGGGAAAAAGTTGGTGGTTATACCCTTTTAGCCGGTTAATGGTCATACTTCGAACAATTTAAACCATGTTTATGAAAGGCTAACACACTAACGCCTACTCCTGGCTTAGTGTAAGTCCTGTCTGTGAAACCAGCCCTTTGATATACTATATACTGCCCTTTTCAGTTATTCCGGATTTAATTCTGCTTTTGTGAAACAGCCCCCTAGGCGGTCTTTCCCAGTGAAGGCTGTGGGAATCGCTGATTCATTAGGAGGCACGGTATCCCTGTATTGGTGCATCGCCAAGCTGACACATTGCTCCATTGAACAACAGTGGGAAATGTGGTTTCTATGTGTGTATGGGTTAATGGAAGATGCCGTTGTTCGCGTTAAAGATGGAGTATTCTGTCATGTATTGAATTCAGCTAAGGCAGGTGGTCAGTGAACATGATGGTAATGGTCGTGCTCAGTGGAAAAGGTGCACACTTTTTGTTCATGTTTGGCAAACTGCTAGATTAATATTCGTTTTTAGTTACGTTTTTAAGCGATGGCATACGTGAGCTAACACACATTGAAACTTTGTTTCATTCAGGTTTGCACTGTACCAACACCATCCCATCGCTGATTAAAGGATGCAGACATACAGTGTGGGCCAGCCATGTTGGAAGAACTATTACATAAGCTGAATCATGTTCGATGAGGTACGTAGCAAGCTGGCTTCCAATGGGCGTTTTCTGCGACTCAGCACTATTTACCTGTCCGGAAAGGCTGTAAATGTATATCTTTGTAATGCTAAATTTTTAAATCAGTATATACTCTGTTTATATATGTATATATGTGGGGGACATGTGTGCCTTTTTGATCGCGGTTTTTATGGTCAGCAAAACAATCCTGAAACCATTTGAACCTGTGAAAATGTTTTTTTAGTCTGATAAATATTACATAAAATACACTTGGATCATGTAGGCCTGGCTTATACACATAAATATACACACATATGTAGTATAAATTCTCTTTTTTCTTCTCCCGAAGTACAGAAAAGGAAGACATAGAAGACCAAGAAGAAGATAACTGAAGATGGACAACAGGGACACCTGCAGAAGACAGTCTGATTAAAAAAATTAACTGGAAAAGAGAAGGGAAGATAGCTCAACAATGGAACAGCTGGATTGCCAGAACAACCCAAATGTTGATGCATGCCCTGCTGGTCCTTCCCAGGCAGCAATCATAGACCAAAAGGTGGGGAGTTCTGCTGACATTGAACTCCAGAATGAGCAACATTTGCAGCTATGGAATTTGCGGGCCAATAATATTCAGCGAATCCTGTCAATACCTCATAAAGAACATTGCCCTCTTTATCCTTATTCCAGATGCAAGAAACTAGGTATTGATTTCAATGTAGGATCCGGAGTAAAGCAAAATCTTGATCCCAAATTACTGACCAATGGCATCATGGCTGAATTGAACACTTTTGCCACGGCAATGTTATCAGCCAGAAAGCATTTCATTACAGAGATACTGGAGTATAATTTTGATCTTAATTTGACAAATGAGCTGCTTCGCAGTGCCTTTGCACAGAGAACTATGTCAAAAATGAAAACAATGAATCACCATAAAAAATACAGTGTTCATCGTTTAAAAATGTTTTTTGAACTCCCTGACACAAAATGCATTCAAGAATCTATGGAAGCGACAACTACATATTGCCCCAAATGCCATCAAGACCAAAAGCTTCGTCAGGATCAGTCTGACCCTGGTCACTTGAATCATCCTCATCCACATACCATGACTGACACAGTCTCTGCTGATGCAAACAGCACATCTCCGAAGCCTGCAAAGCGTCCGTTGTCTACCTTCTTAACAACAGAGGAGACAGCAATGAATTACCCTCGCTGCAAGAAAATAGGGTTAAACTTATGTGTGGACAAAGACCAACCAAAGGATAAACTTGACAGACGTGTATTGACGCTCGGGATTGTGAATGAAGTGAACAGTTTTGCCTCAAAATTGTCTGGAACAAAAGGTACAGTCATTGTTGATGTCCTTAAACACAACTTCAACATTGGCCAAGAGCTACATCCTGTACAGGTCATGTACTCATACAGTGCACTGAATGTCAGCAAGTCTGCCTGGCTCAATGAAGTTTTTGTTATTCAGTCACATCCCAGACAATCTGGAAAACAGAAACGGGCATCTGTAACGCAGAGAAGTGACTTGCAGGAAACTATCAAGAAAAGAAGGATGTCTCTGCTAACAAATGAGAAAAGAGATACACTGCCAAGTCATAATACAAGTGCCATCATATTGACGACAAAACGTCAGAGAAGAGGACAACTTTATCCCTTTTGCAAAGAGATAGGTTTGGATCTAGACGTGACATCAGGATCAACAAAGAAAGAAAAACTGGACTTGAAGCTATTGACCACAGCAGTAGTTTGTGAGATACATAAATTTGCATCTGAGGAAGCAGGAAACTATTACCCACGCACTGTGTTTTATATCCTTGATGCTAACTTTGATCTTAGCTCACAATATTACAGGCGCTGGGAGTTCTCCGTAGATACTGCAGCCAAAGTCCAAAACACAGTCAAGCAATATTGTGAAAAAGGAGACGGAGCTGACGAGGTCTTCAAATTGCCATTTGTTTTTGCTCCCAAATCTTCACAAAAGATTGCAGAGAGGAGACAAAATGGCAATGATAAAAAGTATTCTCAGAAAGAAGCAGACAAGGAAACCAATAAGGGTAGTTGTGAGAACCAAGTGAGATGCCATTCAGATGTAACTAACAAGGAACCTTGGTCCCATAATGATGAAATAAATATCCTAACAGATCCATGTACGATGAATGTGCAGATGAATGGGAACCTAGTGAGTGTAGCCTGTGGTAGTCCTCTCCAGGGAAACATACAGATTAAAGAGGAGGAGGAGGAGGAGTACAATTCACATTATGGCGATAAAAAAACAGAACTGGACGCTGAGGAAGAATATCATTCACATAATGATGATGTCAAAGCAGAGTCAAACACTGGAGATGTCAAGCATTTAGTTCCAGGTGAACCTGCAGGATCCCTTGGAGCCGATGGCAGTCAGGATTTCTTGGAAAATCCAACAAGCTCTGACATCCCTAAAGAGTCAGAATCAAGTATTACTACTGACGTCTCATTCACGTTACCAACTGTAAACTCAAAAGTGAACCCACCATTTGCAAGTCAACCTGATGAAAAGGGGCTTTGTGGAAGGGAAGAGCAAACACAGACTCTAAGAAATGCACCAAATGAATGTGACATGGAACAAGAGGAAATAGGAACAGAGCACAACATGTGGAAGTTGCGTGCAAACCGTGTAAAACAAATCCTCTCTGCACTAAACAATGAGTTTAATGCATTCTTCAAGACCAGGAAATTCAGTCTTGAATTCAATGTTGGATTTGGCCCTAAGCAAAACCTCAGTGTTGACTCTTTGACTAATGCTGTTCTGCTTAAAATTGAAAAATTTGCCTTAGCAATTAATTCATCCCAGCAGAATTTCATCATGGAGATTCTTGAGTACAACTTTGATCTTGGCCTACAGAGTCAACATCATAGGGATGTCTTTGCATGTGAAATAATGAAAAGAGTAAGACAGCTCGGAAGTTGTGAAGATGCAGTCAGATTTTCAAATGAGGTTTTTGAACTTCCTGGTCCCATCCCATCAATAGATATGACAAATCAGAGTGTGGGCAGTGTCATTCCTGAACTCGACAGCATTTCAAGAATGGAGAAGTGTGATGTTGCTCCCATGTGCCAACTTAATTCACATGCCAAAACTAAAGAATGTATTTCACTCAAGAATGAGGATCTTTATCACTTGTGCAAGGGAATGGGTCTGAAGCTACATGTAAACAATAGTCAACCAAACAAAAAACTGGAAATCAACAAATTGACCAATGGAGCAATGACTGCAGTGACAACCTTTGCAGAGAAGTTGTGTGGAACATTTGAGCAGATTTGTCTTGACATCCTCAGACACAACTTTGATTTGAATTCGCAAAGTGGAGATTCTGACCTTGCCAAGAATATTCTTGCACGAATTCCTGTGGTAATAGAGCAAAAGAATCTATCAACCTGCACAAAATCTTGCAAGAAATTAAAGCGCACAAGAAAAGATAGCTCAACAATGGCGAAACAAGATTTGCAGAACAACCCAGATTTAGATGCATGTAGTGCTGGTTCTTCCCAGGCCGCAGTCACAGACCAAAATGTTGCCAGTTCTGCTGACACTGAACACAAAAATGAGTACAATTTATTGCTGTGGAAATTACGGGCCAATCATATTCAGCAAATCCTTTCAGTACCTCATGAAGAACATTGCCCACTTTATTCTTACTCCAGATGCAAGAAATTGGGAATTGATTTCAACGTAGGATCTGGAGCAAAACAAAATCTTGATCCCAAATTACTGACCAATGGCATCATGGTTGAATTGAACACTTTTGCCACAGCACTGCTATCAGCCAGAATGCATTTCATCATAGAGATTTTGGAGCATAATTTTGATCTTAAATTTAAAAATGAGCAGTGCCGCAATGCCTTCGCAGAGCAAACTATGGAAAAAATTAGAGTAAGGAATCCACATAGAAGATCCACCCGCAAGGGGTCTCTAAGGAAAAAGCCTTTTGAACTCCCTGACATGAGCTGCATACAAGAACCTACTTGTGAGAAAACTAATCATTGCCCCAAATGCCCTAGAGACCGAAATCATAAGCTTCATCAGGATGAATTTGACGCTGGTCACATGCATCATTCCCGTCCACATGCCGTGACGGACACAGTCTCTGCTAATGTAAACTGCACACCACAAAAGCCTACAAAGGATCCATCCTCTAGCTTCTCAACAACAGAGAACACAATTATGGACGGTTACCCTTACTGCAAGAAAGTCGGTTTTAACTTGTGTGTGGACAAAGACCAACTAAAAGATAAGCTTGAGACGCATGTCTTGACACGCGGGATTATGATGGAAGTGGCTGGTTTTGCCAAGAAATTGTGTGGAACAAATAATAAAGTAGTTAATGATGTCATTGAACACAACTTCAACATTGGCATGGACAGTCGAAACCTAAACCCTGCAACACTATTCCGCAGAGAGATTAAACAAAATGATGGAGGGCTTGACTGGTTCAATAAAGTTTTTGGTTTTCAGTCATATTCGCACCGACCACCTGGATATGTGGGTAAAGTGAAACGGGAATCTGCCATGCATAGGAGTGAAAGGAAGGAAACCATCAAAAAAAGAAAGTTGGCACTGCAAACAAAAGAGGAAAGAGCCACACTGCCAACTCATAATGCAAGTGTTGTAAAATCAAAGAAAAATCATTGGAGTAAAGGAGACCTTTATCCCATTTGCATGGAGATAGGTTTGGATCTAGACGTGACATCAAAATCAAAAGAGAAAGAAAAACTGGACTTGAAGCTATTGACCAGAGCTGTAGTGTTGGAGATGCATATATTTGCAACTCAGGAAGTTGGACACTATTACCCACGTGCTGTGTTTGACATCCTTGACTATAACTTTGATGTTAGCTCACAATATTACAGGCGCTTGGAATTTTCCATAGATACTGCAACCGAAATCCAAACGATGGTCAAGCAGTTTTGTGAAAAAGGAGACGGAGCTGACAAGGTCTTCAAATTACCATTTGTTTTTGATCCCAAGGCATGTGCAAACTCTTCCCTACACACTGCTAACAAATCGGAATCAAGTTGTCTGGGCAATCGTGCACCTTTCATCACCTCAAGTGACGTCTTATCCAGTTCACCATCTGAAAATTCAAATATGAACTCTCCATTTGGAAGTCAACCTGATACAAGAGGGCTTTGTGGAGGTGTAGAGCAAACACAGATTCCAGGAAATGTGTCAACTGAAGGTGACATGGAACACAAAGAAATAAGAACAGAGATCGACTACACTTGCCCTTTAGGAGAGTCTGATTTAGACTCAGATGAAGTCACAGATGCAGGAAGCACTGGTAACCAAGGTCACTTAGAAAACTCAGATATTGCTAGTGGATCAGAATCAAGTTGCCTGGATATTCATCCTCCTTTCTTCAACTCCACTGATGTCTCATCCACTTTACCAACTGTGAACCCACCATTTGCAAGTCAACTTGATGAAAAAAGGCTTTGTGGAGGTGAAGAGCAAACACAAACTCCAATAAATGTCCCAAATGAATGTGACATGGAACAAGAGGAAACAGAGACCAACATGTGGAAGTTGCGTTCCAACCGAGTAGAACAAATCCTCTCTCCATTAAGCAAAGAGTTTGGTCCATTCTACAGGTGCAAGAAAATCTGCCTTGAATTCAATGTTGGATTTGGTCCAAAGCAAAACATCAGTGTTGACTGTTTCAGCAATGCTGTTCTGCTTGAACTTATTAATTTTGCCATGGCAATTAATTCATCCCAGAAGAATTTCATCATGGAGATTCTCGAGTCCAACTTCAACCTCGGCTTGCAGAGTCAGCACCATAGGAATATTTTTGCATGTGAAATTATGAAGAGGGTAAGACAGCTGAGAAGTTGTGAAGATGCAGTCAAATTCTCAAATGAGGTTTTTGAACTTCCTCTACCCATGCCATCAATTAAAATGACAAAGAAGAGTGGGGGCAGTGTCATTCCTGAACAAATGGAGAAGTGTGACGTTGCTCCTGTGTGTCCTCCTGATTCACATGAGACTAAAAAACTTACTTCACACAAGAATGAGGATCTTTATCCCGCGTGTAAGGAAATAGGTCTGAAGCTACATGTAAAAAATCGGCAACTGAACAAAAAACTGGACTTCAACAAATTGACCAATGGAGCAATGACTGAAGTGACAAACTTTGCAGACAAGTTGTGTGGAACATTTGAGCAGATTTGCGTCGACATCCTCAGACACAACTTGGATTGTGATTTGAAAAGTGGAGATTCTGACCTTGCCGAGAATCTTCTTGCACAAATTCCTGCTGTAATGGCGAAAAGAAATCTATCTACCTGTGTTAAAGCCTTCAAGAAATTAAAGGCCACAAGAAAAGATATCTCAACAGTGGAAAAACTGGATTGCCAGAACAACACAAATTCAGATGCATACAGTCCTGGTTCTTCCCAGGCAGAAATCAAAGATCAAAATGCAGAGAGTTCCGCTGACACTGAACACCAGAATGCACTCAATATCGAGCTGTGGAAATTGCGGGCCAATAATATTCGGCGAATCCTCTCAATACCTCATGAAGAACATTGCCAACTTTATTCTTACTCCAGATGCAAGAAATTGGGAATTGATTTCAATGTAGGATCTGGAGTAAAGCAAAATCTTGATCCCAAATTACTGACCAATGGCATCATGGTTGAATTTAACACTTTTGCTACAGCACTTCTATCAGGCACAAAGGAATTTGTCACAGAGATACTGGAGTATAATTTTGATCTTAATTTTAAAAATGATCTGTATCGCAGTGCTTTTGCACAGCTAATTATGACTCAAATGAGGTCACGCAAAAAAAAAAAGACACCTTTTGAACTCCCTGACATGAGCTGCATACAAGAACCTACTTATGAGAAAACAGAGTATTGCCCCAAATGCTCTGAAGACCGAAATCATAAGCTTCAACAGGATGAATTTGACGTTGGTCACATGCATCATCCTCGTCCAAATGCCATAACGGACACACACTCTTTTGATGTAAACACCACAGAACACAAGCCTACAAAGGATCCGTCCTCTACCTTCTCAACTACAGAGCAGACACTAATGGACAGTTACCCTCACTGCAAGAAAATAGGTTTGAAGCTGTGTGTGGACAAAGACCGACCAAAAGATAAACTTGACACACATGTCTTGACTCGCAGGGTTGTCACTGAAGTGGAACATTTTGCCAAAAAATTGTGTGGAACAAAAAGTAAGATCATTTATGCACTCCTTGAACACAACTTCAACATCGGCATGCAGGACCGAGACGTAGATCTTGTGCAGATGTTCCGCAGAGAGACGGCACTAAAAGATCTCGGGATTGACTGGTTCAGTGAAGTTTTTGTTTTTCGGCCAGTATTTCACAGGCAGCCTGGATATGTAGGTAAAATGACACGGGAATGTGCTGTACAGAGAAGTGAATGGCAGGAAACTATCCAAAAAAGAAAGCTGGCACTGCAAACAAAGGAGAAAAGAGAGAGAGAGACACCAAGTCAAAATACAAGTGTCGTAAAATCAAAGAAACTTCGGACTAAAGTAAACCCTTATCCCATTTGCACAGAGATAGGTTTGGATCTAGACTTGACGTCAAAATCAGAAGGCAAAGAAAGACTGGACTTTGAGCTATTGACCACAGCTGTAGTTGCGGAGATACATAAATTCATAACTTCAATGGGAGGACAGTATTTCCCAGGTACTCTGTTTGACATCCTTGACTATAACTTTGATCTTAGCTCACAATATTACAGGCGCTTGGAATTTTCCATAACTACTGCCTCCAAAGTCCAAGCCTTAGTCAAGCGATATCGTAAAAAACGAGACAAAGCAGATGTGGTCTTCAGATTGCCGTTTGTGTTTCCTCCCAGGAATTTACAAAGTTCTTGCGAGAACAGACAGCAAAATAAATGTACAAATGATTCCCAGGAAAAGCCAGACAAGAAAAAGAATGCAGGTAGTTGCGTGCGCCAAGTGAAATACCATTCAGATGTCAGTCGCATCAATTTTCTCAGTGGCGTCAAAACTAACGAGGACCTTTGGTCCCTTGATGACCCAAAGTCCCCAACTGGTCATTTGCCAAGGAATGTGCGGATGAATGAGAGTCTAGCGGGTGTAGGTTGTGGTCGTCCTCTACAGGGAGGCTATATGAAACCAGAACCGGACACTGAGGAAAAATATCATCCACATTATGATGTAAAAACAGAGTCAAACACTTTAGCTCAACCTGCAGCACCCCTTGGATATACAATGATGACTCTGTGTCCAATCTCTGGAAGCATAAAAACCGAATCAGAAAATCAGACTGTCCAGTATTACATCCTAGCTCAACCACAAGTCTCTGAAGGACACGCTATGCTAGCTGTATGTCCAAACATTACGAGTAACATAAGAACCGAATTGGACACTGCAGGTGGGAAGTATTCAGCTCCAAGTGAAGCACCAGCATCCCCAGAATACTCCATGGTAACCATAGGTGAGGTCAGTGACGGTACATTGATCAAAGAAGAGCCTGCTGACTCATTCCATTATGGAGTTGTGTCATACCCCGAAAGTGAAGTGGGCATCAAACAGGAATGGGATCCTAAATGTGCTGAATAATCGCTGGCAGAGACAGGGGTGTTTTACACTAAACAGATGCTATTATCTTTGCTATGAAAACTTGGTTTGTGTTGGGGAAGAATGTAGTTAATGACTTCTTTTAATGCTGCAAGAAAATATCCTGTGAAACGCTCATTGTTAAACTCTTAAGGAATGGAGCTTTGTACTTCAAGCCCTAAAAGATGGCCGGGTATGACTAAAATGTTTGAATGCAAAGGGCTTTCTTTTTTTTTTCTTTTCTTTTTTTTTTTTTGTCAGCTTTTGTTGAAATTTGTAAGAATTTGAGAATTGTTTTGACACTGAACCAGACTTTGTTGATGGACGTTTTAGTCTTTTAAAGTGCTTGTTCTCTCTTGTGTTCTGTTAACTTCAATAATAACTTGACTTCAGTAATAGTTTTTCTTTGTTTTATTTTTCAAGAGGAAAAAATGCTTACTTACAATGTAAATAAGAAGATTTTGTATATTACGAAAACATTTAAAAAGCTGTAGATAGATGGAGATGAGTGTGTGTTATATAAACATTTAAAAGCATCCTGTCTACTTCTGCGTTTTATACTCTCAACCTGTACCACATTTGCCTAGTGTGGTGCTGATAAATAATGCTTATATTTTGAACTGGTTCATCACTGCTTTTAGATCATTGAACACCAGCTGTCCTGTGTAATACTGGAAGTGGGCTATTGGTGGTGCTACATACCAGCAGTTTCCTTTGTAGGCAGCAAAGACCTTCCAGACTTTACAAAGGCATAGGTTCTAATTACAAAATAATGTTTGACTTTAGTCATTCAAGTACATGTGCATCTTAGTAATTAGTGTGCATATAGCATTGCTGTTCAATTGCCTGTAAAAACATCAACAAGGTCGAAGGTCAAGGAGTTGTGCTTTTCAAAATAAAAGTCTGAAAGTGAATAAATAAAAAACAAGCACTGTAAAAAAGGACAGTACCAGTGTTTGTTTAAAATGCCTATCTGGAGTAAACACAATTTACCTTGGAAGTCTATTGGAAAATGATGCTGTGGTTAAAAATTCCCAAAGAGTGAATCACTGAATTACAAATGTATGAAGTTGTGTTTTGTTAAAAAAAGAAAAAAAGGTATATATGGGCTGTAGATCCTTACCTGGTCTCATTGGCATTAAAAAAAAGGGGTTCTATTTTGAAAAACATCCCCGGAAGTGTTTCGTGTAAAGTCTGTGTGACTTTACTCTGTGGAGACGCCCATTTCCAGTCCACACCCTCCCCGACCGCTGGATCGGGTCCTCCCTCTTCAGTAGCTTAATTTGCCAGCCTGGATGTCGGATCTCCACCGCAATTCTACCGCAACAGGTAAACCACCGCAAACCATTTAAACGCTTCACAGGACGGGACGAAAAGTAGCACATAGCGGACACTGTCGCTGCTGACCTTTTGTGTTTTATTTTAACCTTTTCTTGGAAGGTAAATTGGGATGTCCTGCTCTGTTAAATCCTACATTTAAAAGACGAAGCGGTGTAGCATATTAACTGTGTGTTTTCTCCACTGCAGGAGATCTGTTGCGGGTTTTTAAGGGTTGACGAGAGAATATGATGTGACACCTGTCAGTAAACCCTGAGTGATAGCCTTTTGTCTGCGTTTAAGATGGAAAACACACCATATGGTTGGGAAAAAAAAAAACCTTCGTCAGACGTATTCATTAGAAAATATTCATTTTAACAAAATACCCTAACTTACATTTAAAGAGAAGTCTGTTTTAAATGACCATATAAAGGCTGTCTGCTATAAATTCCCTCTGTCTTTAAGATAATACATTTCCAGTGAGTGTATGGTATGTGATGATGGATGCTGGATGTCTGTTTTTTTTTTTTTTTTTTTTTTAGAGCAAACACATCCAAAACAGGCAGAAATAGGCACTAGACAATGGCTTTATTGTTTTATGCCATTTAAACATAACTCCAAAGGTTATTCACCCTGTTTCTCAGAAGTGAATTTGCCATTCACAGAGAAGCTGCGTTCACTGACAGACTGCCATCTAAACATTCACTGTCCAGAATATTCAGTCTTACTAATAATATCCTTATCTTGAGAAAAAGAAATGACTGTGATATTTCTGGAGCTGCCCATAGGGGATTGTCTGTGGTCGCCTTACTGGACCCAGCACACAGTGACCTTAATGTAGTTTGTAGTATTTTATCGCATGGCGTGTATTATTTTTTCCTTTTTGTCTTAAAGGGGACAAATTTAAACCCATATTTTATACAGCATTTAAAATACAGCACAAGCCCGACCTCTTGTTTGTCCTGTGCTGTGTTGATCTCACTGTACCTGAGCTTTAAAGCTGTTATCAGACTTTTTTAGATTGTTGAACATCAGTGCAGTGTTTTCTTATTCTTCTATGAGATGATTTGGACAAGTTTAGCAGTTTAGCCATGCGCGTGTTCATTCACTGCAGCATAGACTAATTATAGAGATTGCTTAGTGTGTGTGTGTGTGTGTGTGTGTGTGTGTGTTCTGCTGCTCTCTGTGAAAAACAGAAGGAGGAGGCTTTCTTTGCTGAAGTGGCAAAGTCCATCTAAATTGCACTTCCTGTGACGTCTGGGCTCATCCCTGCAGGGACTGTTGCATATCCACCTGCCAAGAGAGAAAGAAAGCATTGCATAACACGCAGATGCACGTAAATGCACATAAACATGGATCCATTGGAGCGTTTAAGGTGGAAGCTGGTGGAGTTTCAGGGAGCATTTTTATATGACAGTCACATCAGCATGAATGGGAGTGCTGTATTGAGGGCAATTTGGCTTTATTGTTGAAGTCAAGAGTAAGAATCTTGTGCCAGAGGTATATAAGTGAGAAGCTGAGGTAGGACAAGCTGCTGAGTGCTGGGGCTGGGGAGTGTTAAGAAAGTAAAAGAGGCTTTGGTGAATCATTACTCGAGCTGACCCACAAATGTATCAAAAGGATAAATATAAGGCTGACTCTTCTGGTGGAAGCGTCCCCGATTTTCACCTGCAGAAAAATAGAGGAAGGTGTGTGAATGTCTTTTGTATCTGTGTGTGTTTCTGTGCTCTTGTGAATGGGCAGAAAATACAAACACACACACACACACACACACACACACACACACACACACACTCACACAGGCGTCTTTCTTCCTCAGGCTCAGCAAAGCTTCCTGGGCTGTGTCTGCTAGAACAGGGTCCCCCTCTGTGTGAGGAGTGTGTGTCAGACACACTCATGCACACAGGCCGACGCATTGATACGCACATCCGACCGGGCCAGTGTGGCGTACACAGGTGTCAATCAGCATGCAGGCCGGAGTCAAAGGTTCTTTGATTCATTTTCTCCCTCGGTGCAGTAGGTCAGCAAACCGCTGGCCCTGAAAGTGTCTCACACTTTTCCCCAAATCAAAAACTTTCAAAGTGCTACATGTAGCATTTTTATACGTCAATATACCATCAGGGCTGGAGGGAGAAGGATGTCTTGGCTGTTTGGCTCTGGATTTTGCCACTGCAACAGATCCAGAAACAGTGGAAAATGTAATGGTAGACTAGTTGCTCTGTTTCCAGCCTTAAACAAATTAAAACATGTGACTGAAAGTTTATTGGTGACCTTGGAATAGCATGTTGACAAGACAAGCTTAACTCAATGTTTACCTACCTTTTTTGGGTTTCATGTAGATATCTCAGTTGCCATCACAGGCAAGCCCAGATTAAGCTGTTAGTGGGCCCCAGGTCATAAATGTGGTGTGGACCCTAATTGGTCAACCACCCTCAATGCATTGTGTATGTACCCTGTCACCTTCAGGATCTTCAGACTACTCATGGTGCCGCGTAATCTAAGCATGGAACATCTGTCATGTGATAACAGGTTGAAAGGTTAGTCAGTGGATATTGAGTAAAGACAGTTTTTTAAAATTAAACCAAAGTTTAGATGATTTGTAGTCTTTCTCTCCCGCTTTTGAAATCGAAACATATTCCAGAACTGCTGTTGCTTCTATGTTGTTTTAGTTTTTTTAGCATAGCTTTCCACTTGTTCCACAATATAACAAAAACTTTGAGGGCTTAAGGTGTCAGTGTGCTCAAAAGGAACTAGTTTGTATGCTGTGCTGTCTGACTGCATCTGAGGGCAACAGTGTAAATACTGTAGTTCACACTGCCACACTCAAAGGTAGGATGAAAAGCTGGAGCTTCGGGGAGGCAGGATTTCTAGCAGCAAACAATCCGACAGTACACCAATCAAAATGCAGTAGATACTGTCAGTCATCTTGGCGCCGCTCTTGCTTGTTTATCATATTCATAAAGATTTTGTGTCTGCGATGCATACACCTACATTAGTGTAGAACCTGTGCAGCTTTAAATCCATTTCAGTCTTATAATAAGTATATTATAATCAGTACACTAAGTATTTCTAATATTTGATGGTTTATGTGTCAGCTATTAAAATATATGATATAATACATGAACACAGGATGAGTTTACTTTTCCAGTACTAGGGTGGCGTTGTGTGCCTTTTTTTTTAATCCAGGATGTGTCCATGTTTGAACAGAGAAAGCTCTCTAACATAGCCAATAGCAGATACAATCTGTTTGAAACCACACACACACCTCAGGGTACAGAAGTGTTTGTGTATGAAGGCGGATGAGACTATGCTGAATACCTTCATACAAAGTGTTTGCAGAAGGCGCACACATACAGTGTATATACAGGTAGACCTGCATAGCTCAAGAGTTTTTAAAGGCACAGCGTGAAGAATTTAGTGGCATCCAGCGGTGAGGTTGCAGCCAACTGAATACCCCTCGCCTCACATTCCCCTTCATAGCAAGGCCCTATCAAGGTCCAGTGTTTGGTTTGTCCTTTCGGGGCTGTAGAAAAAAGGCAGTGCAACACGACAGATTCTGTGGAACAGTACTCCCCCCTCCCTCTGTAGATAGAAACGTCTCACTTTAAGGTTAAGACACAACAATTCTTATTTTCAGGTGATTGTACACTAACGAAAACAAAACTCATATATCTTATATTCCATTTCTGCTATTATACAAGAAAAAAAAACAAATACAAAAAAAATAGTTCAACAATTGACATTTATTGGTCTTGTGTAATTTGAAACCCTGGTTGAGGTTTATTATCTAACATAAGCCTACAGTGAGTTAGGGACAAAGCTTTAATTATTGTAGATAAGATAAGATAGACTTTTAAATGTCGATTGAGCAACCTGTTTTAATTCAGTGATAAAACAGATTTTTGCATAGAAATGAGTTGTTAATAAAAATGAAAAATAGACCAAGTAACTGCCAGGTGTATCTGTTGCATAGTTAACTGAACTGGGGTCATTCCTATGTGTTCCCGGTATCCCCCAGTTCTAAGGTCTGGGGACGTAGGAGACTGGGGCCCTAGGACCCTGGGAACATAGATCTGCTCCCAACTGAACTAATTGACCTTGCTGATATGACCCATAGAGCGAAGAGTGAAAGGGATCATCAGAAATATAGTCGACAAATCTGAACTGACAGAGACAAAGATTTCACAAAAATAACAACATAACATGTCTCAAATTATGA